CTAAATTTTTGGACCGATCTCGGTCCAGATAATTATATACGGACCAATCCCGATCTGTATAATAAATTAAATATATACGGTTTTGAACATAATATATACGGACCGATATCGGTCCGTATATTTTCATTGAAAATAATCATCCGTTCTTAATTTTTGTTATTTAATACTTATTTTTTACGAAAAGTAATAAATATACGGACCGAAATCGGTTCGAATATAAAAATGAAATTTCTTGTTTTCTAATGGATATATACAGACCGAAGCCAGTCCGTATATATTTATTTAAATAATATTTTATTCATATTTTTTGTTATTTAATATTTATTTTTTTCAGAAATAATATTCGGACCGGTTTCGGTCTGAATATTATTGGCGCTTTTACACTGTGGATTCCCGCCAGCAATATACGGACCGATACCGGTCCGAATATGTTGATTAGTATATGTTGCCCCACCTGAATATATTCGGACTGGTATCTCCAATTTTTTTTCTTTTTTTTTTTCCTTTACCTCCAAGCAAACCCAGGAGCTGGGTTCTGAACCCAAGCGCCTGGGTTCATCGTGGGTTCTTGGGTTCACGACAAACCCAAAAGCTTGAGTTCGTCTTATCTTCTTCTCCATCCTTTCCTTTCTCTGTTTTTTCTTTTTCTTTTTTTTTTTTCTTTTTCCTCCAGGCAAACCTAGGAGTTGGGTTCTGAACCCAAGCACCTGGGTTCATCGTGGGTTCCTAGGTTCACGATGAACCCAAGTGCCTGGGTTCGTTGCGAACCCAGGCTCTTGGGTTTGTCGTGGGCTCCTGGGTTCGCGATGAACCCAGGCGCCTAGGTTCGTTGCGAACCCACCAGTTGGGTTCATTGCGAACCCAGGCTTCTGGGTTCGTCGTGGGTTCCTAGGTTCGCGATGAACCCAGGTGCCTGGGTTTGTCGTGAACCCACAAGCTGGGTTCATCGCGAACTTAGTCTCTTGGGTTCGTCGTGGGTTCTTGGGGAGAATCTGCAAACCTCCGCTTCATGCCAGAATGCATCTGCTATATATACAACCACATGGCGATGGAATTAAACAAAATTCTGGATAATCGCATCGATGATTACACGGGGATGCCATTTGTGCCCTCAAGTTCTGGGGATTGTGGTTTCTTGAAGAACATAATGATGCTGTTTTACGAAACGATAAGGAAGGAAGTGGAGGACAGTCAAAACAGAACTGCATCACATTTTTCTTGGAGGAACTACGATGACATTAATGAGTATTTCTTGAGCAAAAGGTGTTTCAGGAGTTTGAAGTGGCCAATCGACATGCGGAGCAACTTTCTCTATACAGCTAAGAAGAACAATAGAGTAGGAAAGATGGGGTTTGTGGACTAGAGGTCGTTTTGGAATGTGTTTCGGAGCTTCGACAGGCTATGGGTTTTGTTGATTTTGTTTTTGCAAGCAATGATAATTGTTGCTTGGGAAGAGACGTAGTCTAGACGGAAACCACTAAAGAGAAGAGAGGTGCAGTTGAAATTGTTGACAGTTTTTATCACCAGAGAAAGGAAAGGATGGGGAAGAAGATGGGGTAAATAAGTAATTAAAGGTAAAAAAAATTATCCATGTCATTAACTTTTGTGAAATGGATTTTCCACGTAATCTAAGTAAAAAATAAAATAAAATTTTCTGTTAATTAACTTGCCACATCAGCCAAAATTTAACGGAAGGACTAAAAAGGGGTCGGATTTTAAAATTTAAGGACCAAAAAGGGGATCTTTTCGGTATAGGGACTAAAAAAGGGCTTTTTCCTATAGTTGAGGGACTAAAAAGGGTATTTAACCTAATATTTAAAATATCATAATTTTATTAATTAAAAAGCTTATCTCTTTGATCTCTTTTCATCAACTCAAATATAATACAAATTAATAATAAAAATTAGAGGTGAAAAATCTTGTGCTAAGATTGAGCAATTGGGACAAGTAAAAGTGAAGCCCATCGTGAGGATTGAACTCCCAACCTTTTACATACTATAAGTTGGGAACAAACACCAGTGGGGAAAAATCTTGGTTAAATACCAAATTTGGTCCCTCAACTTTTATCATTGAAAAAATTTATCTTTGAATTTTAAAAAGTATTAAAAGTATCCTCAAATTTTAATTTTTGGGACCAATTTAGTCCTTCCGTTAACTGAATTGACAGCTAGCGCATTAAATGGCTAGAAATTCACACCCTTTCTTTGAAAATAATGATGTGGAAAAAAAATGATGTGGCATTTTTTCCTTTTACATGGCATTTTAACTAAATTTTAATCTCTAACCCTAATATTAACCATTTTACTATTCTTTATATACCTATTTTATAAACATTATAAATCCTAAATCTAATCTCTAGCTCCAACCCATCACACCTTTTTCCCTTCATTCACTGTTGACTTCTCTTTCTTTGATGCCAACAACGACGACAATGGTGATGATTACAACAACGGCAACAACGACATGGTTCTCTTTCTCCCTCTTCCTTGCTCTCTTTCTCTTTCTCCCTTCTCCCATGGCCTTTTTATTTTTTGAACAACTTTCTCCTCTTTCCTACTCACCTTTCTCTTTTGAGATCCCTTCATCTCCAAATCTTGTTGTCCTCATCTCTAGATCTGCAAATCCAATGGCTTCTTAACAAGGGCTTCACTCTTCTTCTTCCTTTCCTTCCTCTCTTCTTCCTCCTCTTCCCTCCAGCCTAATCTATTAAACAAGAGAATGCATATCTAGGTTCTTCCTATGAGTTTATCTAAGTTCTCTTGGAGAACTTGCGGGTTCTCCATCCAATTTGAGAAAGGGGAAAGATGGGGAGGAGAGAGAAGGAAAAAGAAAGAGGAAGAAAATTATAAATTTTTAGGTTTTTGGTTAGAATTTTTACCGTTTAATATATGGTTTGTGTTTGATTAGGTGATTTTTTTTTTTTTGGCAAAAATACAGTTTGATTGGGTGACTCTAGGAATTGATTATCTAAGAGTAAAAGATTTTAAGGAAAATAGTGTCAATACTGGGAGCAGCATCTAGGTATTTCATGGATGAGCAAGGTTAGGGTTTGCAAAGGTAGGGCAAATAATAGAAAAGGAGAGAGAAAATGAAAGAGGAAGAAGAAGATCTTTTTTTTTTTGCTGATGTGCAAAAAGTGCTAACTTGTTGGAAAAAAAAAAACTTTATTTCTTTTTTATGTCATTAGTTTTTTTAAAGAAATTGATTTTCTAGGAGCCTAACTTGCCATGTGTCAATTTGGTTAACAGAAGGATGAAATTAGTACCAAAAATTGAAATTTGAGGATATTTTTTATACTTTTTAAAGTTGAAAGATAACTTTGATTCAAAATTAAAAGTTAAGGGATCAAATTGGGTATTTAACCAAAATCTGGTGCTGAGAACGAGCAATTGCGATGAGAAAAAGTGAAGCCCTCGGCGAGGATCGAACTCGCGACCTTTCGCTTACGAAGCGAACGCACTACCACTATGCTACGAAGGCAAGTTGGGACGATGGAATAATTTAAATATAAATATTAAATTGCAAATTGAGAATCCCAACTTAACTGACGCGCATCAGGACTCGACCAGGACTGTTTTGTGCAATGGAATTCTAGAGCAGGAAAGGTTTCAACCTATATAAGAATATTAAATTTTAGTGGGGAAATGACTTTCACCCGATGTTTATATACTTGTGGTTGTGGGTGACGTTTTATTACACCTGTTGTTAAACATGTCTGTGGAGATTTATACCAAAAGAAATTTTTTTTTTATTATACAATAAAAAGCAATCATTTTTTTTTTATTTCACCCACATGTTATACAATTTCAAATTATGACCTCTTATTTCTAGTAAAAGAAGATAACCACTTAATTATTTACATGTTACAACGTTTAGATGTAAACAAGCAGATAAATCATTCCTAATCCAAGCCACAGCGATAGAAAAAGCAGTCTCCTACTCGTCGTGAAGAG